TTTTTTTTTTCTTTTTCTTTTTTTAAGACAGGATAGGGGCCGGGGAGATGGCTCAGTGGAATAAGCACTTCCCTGGCAAGCTCAAGGGCCTGAGTTCAATTCCCGGTTCCGCAAAAAAAAAAAAAAAAAAGACAGTATAGCACAGACTAGCTTTAAACTCAAGGTGATCTTCCTGCCTCAGCATCCTGAGTGCGTGGATTGCAGACGTGCACCACCATGCCCGGCTATGTACGTACTCTTAACGAAAGGCTGTGCTGTCAGTGGAGAGAAGGAAATGCAGAGCAGATCAGACCCTGCTGGTCTCCACTCACCAAACTGTACTTGTCTTTCATGGGCCCCGTGTCTGCCAGCAGCTTTGTCTTGGGGTTCATTTTCAGAATATCTCCAGTTGTGGTGCCAAGGTAGAAAAAGCTGTCATCATCAGCCATCTGGGAGAGAGAAAGGAACCCTGAAGAGCTATATTTTCTTAGTGATCACAAGCTCTGACCAGGGAGGAGCTGAGTATCCTCTGAAACCCCAGGAAGACCTACAAAGACCCCCCCCCCCCCCCCCCCCCGCCACACGGCTACTTCTACTTCCAGATTGTGCAATGGTTAAATCAAGCTGGGTAAGAACGGCTCCCTGTGGAGCATGAGCAGGACCGGACACGGGCCTGGAAGGAATGCTAGACTCCAGGGAAGCTGTGCAGTCCACGTGATGTCACTCAAGGCTCGGCCTGCCAGAGCCTGCTCCTGAGTTGCTACCGCAAAGCGCTCCTAGGAGCAAGGTACGCTTCTCCCGAGGGGATGTGTATCTCTTCCAGAGCCCTTATTCATACAACGCCTACACATTACACAAGGGGCATAAACCAATGCAGAAGAGTTCTATCTATGAAAGTTTATGTCTACGTGAAGCACATATCACTATTTTTCTTTATGGAAGATTCAGAATTTCACAATGATGTTTACTATCAGAAACGTTATTTCCAGTGGCAGCAATAACATTGGTAGCATGGGGATGTGAATGCCACCTAGCTATCCTGCTTCCCCTTAGGAGTGTGAGGGCAGCTCAGGTCCCAATCATAATGAGACTGCCAGTGCTATGTCTAGACAGCTCCTCCCCGACTCCAGAGGGCGCTCCCAAACTTAATGCCCTCCCACCTGCACCTCCTCACTAACAATCTCACTGTGCATATTTGACCTTCCTCCAGGCAGCCTGAGCCACACCCACTGCTGGCAGCAGGAACTTGTAGTGACAGTCACTGAAAATACTACTTGAAGTAATACTTACTGTAATACTCATAACTATTCTTTTCATCTGTCCTGTTTGGCACTCAGTTGGCCAGATCTTTCTATTTGGAAGATCCAGTTCCCACACTCGAATTGTCCCACTGTAAATAAAAAATCACAATTCAATGGAGATCCATTTAATAGCCAGTTCATTTCTTTTATGTTCTCTGTGTACTACTGCGGGAGAAGTTGAAGAGAAGAGAATTAAACATTTTTAAAGATTTTTTTAATAACCTGGAACTCTACTTAAGATCTTTCACTCAGTCCTCATGACAACCCTAACAGTAGAGTCACATGATACCTCGCTCTCCAAAAACAGAGCTTGTATATAGCAAAGCAGGGGTTTACACCCAGTCCTCTTCCTCTGAAGGGCGTACTCTATTCACTGTACCAAATCCAAGCACGCAGATATGCAACAGAGAAAACTGGAGCTCCCTAAGTTTCCTTCCCTTTAACTGACAAGTAAAAAATGTGTGCATGATGTTTTGATATTTATGAGGATGTGAATGAACCTGGAGGACATGTGAAATAAGCCAGTCACAGAAGAACAACACTGCATGATCTCACTCATGTGGCATCTAAAACGGTTGAACTCACAGGAACATAAAGTACGATGGTTATGCTAGGAAAGGGGGGTGGGGAGGCATTTGTTTGGGACACCACATTTCTGTTAGGCAGGAGGATGCCAAGGTCCTGAATGGTGTTGAAAAATTTAAGAGAAAATACTTTAGTATGGAAAGTTTTGTTTTTCAAGAAAGACAAATAAGATTAAGCCCCTAAAAGTTAATTTAAGATAGCATCTAACACAGGATTTGATATATGGCTACTTTTTAGTTATTGTGCATTGAATTAATATGAATTAATAATTGTTTAAATACATCAAGGTCAACAGCACAGTCAGATTTCAGCTAATATTTTAAGATAGCAAAGATTAAAAATACATCGTTTAGATTTTTTGTTTGTTTGTTTTTGTCTTTGTCTTTTTGAGACAGGGTCTTACTATGCAATTCAGGCTGGCCTTGAGCTCACTTTATAATCCAGGCTGGTCTTGAACTCTCAACAATCCTCTTCCCTCAGCCTTGCAAGTGCTGGGATTACAGGCATGTGTCACCATGCCCAGCTCCAGGTTTTGTTTTGTTTTTTTTTTTAACTATCAGAATTATACACATAACAGTGTAGTAAGTGCTTCATAAATATTTTAAATGTAATTTCCAAATTAAAAATAAAAAGAGCTTTTTGATGACTCTATATGGAATCCACAGACAATCGTATGAAGACAATATAATAAAACCCATGTGGGGCCAGTTAAATAGCTTAGCAGATTAAAGTGCCTGCTTAGGCAGACGCAGGGGTTGGGGGTTTGATCCCTGGCCTGCCATGCCAGCCCTGTCCCTGGGGTGTGCTAAAATGGTGATTGAGACTGAGCACTGTGACTCGCGCCTGTAATCTCAGTGCTTGGGAGGCTGAAAACAGGAGGATCGCTACAAGTACGATCTAGATAGTAAGACTCTGTAGACCCTATAGATCTTGTACTAAATACAAATTAAATAAATAAATAAATAAACCTCACGAACCTGGGGATACACTGGAGAACCCAGGGAATATAAGAACCATCACAGAAAACTTACTGAAGAACATTAACTTTCTCAGTAGTAGTGTCACTTGAAACAGAAGCCGACTTAGAATACCAATTATTCTTAAAACCTTCTCTTTGGTATAAAACTATAGTTTTAACTCCTGGAGAAATGTTTGTGACCATTAGAACAGACCAGTGCCTTCTACCAAGCAGCCACCAAGGAATGAAAGAATTTCAAACAAAATCTTCATAAAGCCACTCTGCAAACCTGATAGAAGCAGAGGAGCCTCTTGGTCACCAGCAGCCCTGGAGGGCAGGCATTCCTGGCAGGAAGGGTCAAGTGCTGCGGCATCAGAGCCCTGCCCTAAAATGATCTGCTGGCTTTTATGTGGGGTAGGCGGTTTCAGGACCTCCCAATGAATCCTTCCTCCTAATTAGCCCTGGAATGAATGCATGCAGTGTGTCACAAGGTAGGGACAGGAGATCTCATAGATAGAGAACAGCCCAGATTCTTAACTCTGTCTGGGAAAGTAGCTGACAGTATGTACTTTTCATAGATAGGAAACAACAAATGGATTGAAAAGCATTCTATCCAACATACACTCTGACATTTTCTGATTCCTCTCCTTTGAGCTACTGTATGACATGAAAAAAATGCATAAAAATATGCTTTTATATATGCTTAGCCTTTCCCACAACCCCAAACAGGGTTCTGATTGTCCATCCACTCATAAAAAAGTACTGTGTTAGAAAGCAGCAGACATTCTGTTTAGACGTTCACCTTGGTCACTGCACGTGCTTAAAGCTGGCCTTACCGGAAATCATGACATATGGCTGACAGGCTAACCACTTGAAATTTCCTGGCACAGTTCACTTGCAAAATATCACTGCATGAGACCCAAATCAAGTGCAGGTGGTAAGAAATATCAATGGTAAGTGAATCAGTGCAGTTGTGCAAATTACTTTGTGAACACAGATGGGAAAAAATGTGTTTTGGTGACAGAAAAGAATATGAGATGGGTTCATCAGGTCAACAAATCCCTCCCGTAGGAATCAGCAGTTTTCAAAGAATCATATTCAAACCACATCTAACTAAAAGGATTTTAAATGACTCCAAAAATTATGATGCAAGGTGTCTGCTCTGCCCAGGACTAAATAGATGTTCCCCTAAATGTGAGGGAGCAGATTTTCTGTGCAAGAAAATAGAGTAACTTATGGGTTCTAACACTGACTGCAGAGACGTACTTTCCAGCAGTGACAAATATCTCATCCCGGCACCTTGAGAAGACCACGGTGGTGGCATTCCCAACATTGAGGCCAGCGGCAGGGCTGCCACAGATAGCATCTCGCTTGGCTATGCTCCACACCACCACGCTGCAGAAACAAGAAGGGAACAAATCATGAAAAATTATGCTTTCAAAACAAGAAACACCTCTTTCAGTAGCTCTTGAAAGAAAACAATATTGGTTATTAATAAAGGAATAAGGAAAAAACTGCACAGACCCCCTCCAAGTCTCTTCATACTGGGTATTAGAACACCCAGTGATATTATCCAGGATAGTAGAATAGGTGGCACTTTTCTCAAGCTTTGTAGGAAAATCATTATGAGGCTGAAGACAGGGAATTCATCAGTCAAGTCAGATGCTAAAGTAGGCATCTTTCAGACATGCAAGGCCTAAAAGTTTGCCATCCATTTATTTCACGTAAAAATTTTCTGTGAGGAAATATTACAGCAATGGAATCAGGTAAGGGTCCCAAATGTGATGCATATCTGCTATTTAATAGTTCTTATGGGTAAGGAGCCAGCCCAGGTCAACTCAGGGTCTTGTCTTGTCTCTTTTCTTTCTTTCTTTTTTTTTTTTTTCTTTCTTTCTTCCTCATATTGGTACAGGGTCTCACTATGCAGCTCAGACTCATAGTGATCCTCCTGTTCCCAGCCTTCCCAGTGCTGGGATTATAGGCACGCACCACCAAGCCTGGTCTCAGTGGCCAGTTTAGCGTACCCAGGGGTGGGGGCAGTGTGGCATGCGGTGCCAGGGATCAAACCCTGGTCCCTGCACTTGCCTAAGAAGGCTCACAGTCTGCTGAACTATCTGCCTGGCTCTCCCAAATGTGAACATGTGTCACAGCATTATTAAGACAGATCAGATGATATGATCATTACATAGTGTCATACAACATGTATATGTGTCTAATTATCACCCTATAATTTCTGTTTTTTCTTGAGACAGGGTTGCTTTATGTAGTTCAGGCTGACCTTGGATTTATTATGTAGCCAGGCTGGCCTTGAACCAAAAGTGATCCTCCTGCCTCAGCCTCCAGAGTGCTGAGATTACAGGTGTATGCCACCATACCTGTCTGTACAGTTAAAACCATAATTTATAGGCCGGGGAGATAGCTCAGTAGAATAAGCACTTGCTTGACAAGCGCAAGGTCTTGAGTTCAATCCCTGGTACCACCAAAAACAACAACAACAACAACAAAAAAACCCAAAACAAAACAAAAGAAAAGAAAAAAAATAATTAATAAAAAAGAAAGAAAGAAAAGGGCCAGCCAAATAGCTCAGCAGATTAAAGTGCCTGCAAGCAGGCACAGGGGCCTGGAGTTCAATCCCTAGGCCTGCAGTGCCATCCCTGCCCCAGGGGTGCACTGAGATGGCAATTGAGACTGGGCATGGTGGCGTGCGCCTGTATTTCCAGCTCTTGGGAGGCTGTAAACAGGCAGACCACTACGAATCTTATCTAGTAGTGAGACCCTGACCACCCTATAGACCCTTCTCTAAAATACAAAATAATAATAATAATAATAATTTATAGAAGAATTCTTAAAGCAGTCTACAGTGCCTAACTCAGGAGAACTGTGAATTTGCTTTTCTTACAAATTGTAGGTGAGATACTGGTGCTGTCTGGGGACCACACTATCTATCTATCTATCTAGCCTAACTCAGGAGAACTGTGAATTTGCTTTTCTTACAAATTGTAGGTGAGATACTGGTGCTGTCTGGGGACCACACTATCTATCTATCTATCTATCTATCTATCTATCTATCTATCTATCTATCTATCTATCTGATACAGGGTCTCGCTATACAATTCAGACTCATGATCCTCCTGTCTCAGCCTCCCCAGTGCCAGTTTTGGTGACTGGCATGGTGTGTCCAGGGTTCTGGAGCCAGCATGGCATGCAGTAGCAGGGATTGAACTCGGTTTCTTGCTCTTGCCAGGCAGGTACTTAGACTGCCAAACTATCTCCTCAGCCCATGGGGACCACACGTTTTTTTTGTTGTTGTTGTTGTCTGTTTCATTTTTTTAAAATATACTTGGTACAGGGTCTCATTACGCAGCTCAGACTTGTAGTGAGCCTCCTGTTTTCAGCCTCCCCAGCGCTGGAATTATAGGCATTACACCACCATGCCTGGACTTGTTCGCCAGCTCACTGTGCCTCAGAGGTGGGGCTGGTGCAGCATGTGGGACCAAGGATGGAACCTTAGTCCACTGAGCTATCTCACCAGCCCTGGGACCCACAATTTTAAGAAGCATTATTTTAGGTTAACATTTCCTTATTTCTGAGCATCCTTGGCCCTGAACTGAACAGTATCTCAGTAGCAACACCAAGAATGGTAGGGACAGGGTATAGTGATTGTTAAATGATTGCGTCGAGCCAGGTAGGTGTGGTGGCACATTCAGGAGGCAGGGACAGGAGGATTGATGAGAGTTCAAACCAACCTGCACTACATAGTGAATTCAAGGCCAGCCTGAACTGAAAATTGAGATCCTGTCTCAAAACAAAAACAAAACAAAATGATATTATCAAGATATTTAAGGGAAAAGAATACAAATGTCACAAACCTTGTTAATGCTAAATATATCCATACGTTCCACTTTTTCTGTGTGTAGAATGCATTACTATTACAGGTAATTTAAAATCAGGGTATAGCCAACATCACCAAGAATGAGGAAGTGGTATAAAAGCTATATTTTTCTTTTTTCATAGTAGAAATTAATAGCATCTAACGTAGAAAAGTTGAGAGATCGCTCACATAAAAGTTGAAAGTAATAACAAGAAAATAAAAGGGAAAGAAAAGACTATAAAAGCCCTAGCACAACAAGAACAAAGAAATGAAAATGATCCAAAAATCCAGTGGCTGATACATGGACAGATAAAATATGACATAACCATATAATACTATTAGAATATTATTTGACAAAATAATGACATATCATAAGTAGATAAACCTTGAAAATATTATGTATAGTAAAAAGTTACACAGAAGAGGCTATACACGGTGTGATTCTACTTATGGGAACTATCAAGCACAGGCAAATCTAAGAGGCAGAAAGGAGACTGTACAAAGGAGACAAGTCAGTTATGGGGTTTGTTTTGAGGGAGTTGAAAAATATTCTAAAACTGACTATAAGGGAAGTTGAAAACTCCATAAAATACATTTAAAAACCACCCAACTTATCTCAAATGGGCAAATTATAGTAGATGAAATATATCTCAATAAAGTCACAAAAACAAACAAGAATCCAAAAACCTTTGGAGAGCAGAGCGCTTCATGGTGAGGGGATACGAGGGCTGGTACCAGGAGTCTTATACCTTTGAATCCTGGGTCATTTTGCATAGTAGGACAACACAATTTCTTTATAAACCTTGGTCAAGCATGGCTTTACTGTTTCAGAAGCAAGTTCAAAATTTAAAATGAAATAAAGGACACTAACGTAATTCTGGCAATCTGTACCATGGGCTCACACATAGTCATTGCAAAGACTGAGATTAAGGCTAGACAAAGGACGGATGCGTAGAAGATGTCCTTGGTGTCATCTCTATTACCGTATGGACTGTATAACATTGATACAGAAGAAGTTTCATAAATAGGTTACAAAACGTAAAAGGTACACACAGAAAGACAAACCACAGAACTGCACTGCAGTGTGCATCTTCCCTCTGTCACTCTCCATCTGTGCAGAAGCCAGGTGGTTAGGTAGAGAGGACCCCTGCCCCAGGCTCAGGCTTGAGCCTGATGCTCTGACCTCACTGAGCAGAACCCATCTTCCTCACCCCAGTGACCTCTCAGGGATGTGCACCCTGCATTTGCCTACAATCACACTGTTCATTGCCTTCTCTCACTGCCTCCTCGACATTCCCCAGTTTTCTTCAAGCAAACTGCAGACAGCCTAAGATCAGGTTTCAAATTACAGGGAGAATAACAGTGTTGCCAGATTAACCTTGGTGAAGTGGGCATTTTTTCTCCCCTCAAACCTACTCTCTCTGGCAAGGCATAGAGATGGAATGGCCTTACGCCAAACTCCAAGACTGTCCAGGCTGGACCCAGACATCAGAATATTTTTTAAGTCTCTCCAGGTGGAGAAAACATTCTCTCAGGCTTTCACAGAGAGCACATTGGCCAAGCAATGGCCCTGACTCATCCACATGGCTGCACTGACAAAGGATCTACAATCTGAGGTACAGGATCTCAGGATAAATCCTGAGGGGATTTCACTGACCTTATCAGACCCAAAAGCTACAACTCTTGTTGCATAGGTCCTGCTTTACATTGGTCTTAACTGTCCAGCAGAAAAGTATAAAAACGAAATATAAGAAGTGAAGCCATGCTGTTATGTTGAGCTATAGGGGACTCAGGTCAACAATTTCTGACATTGCCAGTCAAATGGAAGACCCAATACTATTATGGGCTACTGGACTCTTTTAGAATATTTTGCTGAGTTTACACACCTATAATATTCAAATAACGGAACTTAACAAAAAAAGGGGATACAGATGAATGTCCATTTTGTATCTGTGTATTCAAAGTGGTTGGGATAGATATATAGTTACATTCTTTTAATGAATGGAGGGATTTGTTCTAATGGTGTTTGTAAATAGGATATCATGTCTGTATCTTGCACAGCAATTAACCACTAGGAAGAGTGTATGCAATGTGTTAATTATTGAAGCTGTCCTACCAATTTGGTTTGAAACTGTCTCATTGCTATTTGTTTCTCAATAAAGTTATGGAGAAAAAAATGAAGTAGGATTCAAATTTTTAAAAAAAGTCTCTCCAGGTGATTCCAATGTGCATCTCAGGTTGAGAATAAGTGCTTTATTAGAATTTTTTTTAAGTGTATTTGGTTGTTGCAAGGTCTCACTACGCAGCTCAGACTTATGATGATCCTCCTCCTTTCAGCCTCCCCAGCACTGGGATTATAGGTACGTGTCACTATGCTCGGACTCTGGCCAGCTCAGCCCATCCTCAGACCAGGATTGGTGTGGCATGTGGTGCCAGGTATTGAACCACAATCCCTGCGCTTGCCTAAGCAGGTGCTTAGTCCACTAAGCTATCTTGTTGGCCAGAGGTTAGAATAGTAATATCTAAGTTCTGGATATATTTTTCATTAAAGACAATTACATAAGAGCCAAGCACTGTGATACACAGCTATAATCCCAGGTACTCAGGAGGCTGAGGCAGAAGGATCCCAAATTTGAAGCCACCCTTGGTAACTTGGTAAGACTGTATCTCAAAATAAAGTTCAAAAGGGCTGGTGATATAGCTCAGTAGTTTATCATCTCTGGGTTTGATCACCAGTACAAACAAACAAATAAATAACCACAAAAACCAACAGCAACTACAAAATCAATCATATGATCCAGGGATAGTGTGATCATCTTCAAATGACTACTGAAGGAGGAACAATAGTGAAAAATGTGTTGACTTTTTGCATATTGAGAGAATTGGCATTTGAGTTTGCCTCAGTAGATTACTAAAGCAAATTCTTTCATTTTTTAAAATGCCCTTTGATGTTTCAAAAAAAGAGCTCTGTAATTTGACTGACTGACTTTAAGATCAGCCATAAGTAATCAACAATCTCGAAAAGCACTTTCCACAGGCAGTCTCTGGGCTGCGCGGCCGCCGCGGTCCTCAGTGGAACTCGCCTTCCCAACATCTTTATGACTATTTAGAATACTCATATTGATGAAATCGTAATTCATGACTGAGTTTCAGAAAAAGACACATTGTACATTAACCATTTAGAGGTCATTTAAATAACAAGATATCGTATTGTAGAAGACCTGTACAATTTTAAAACAATAAAGACTTGAACCTGTAAATGTGTGTGCCTTCTAAAGGAAGATGCATTTTTAATATATTTGAGTGATTGAAGGGGTGTATGGGAAAACTGTATGTATCCTATCAAAGAGAAAATGTTTATTACAAAAATGTCCTTTAATTATATACTATGTAACCGTGTAAAACAGTGTTCTGTAGGCTAGAATTGTGTACATTAGGGCCTTCAGAGATGCTGCCACTGAACTGAGATGTTTAAATGAGTCAGGCGATTTGGATGAAAGTTGTTTCAAGCTTGTTGGGAGAGAACAGTAACAAATGATTTTTTTACAAAAATATTTAATTTCCTCATAAAAATGAGTTAAATATTTTTTAAGTATGTGTATCAATAGTACAAAATGGAATAAGCCTCATAGTGTATAGAAAACTGAATTTGATAGCATATTAATGCATAAATGAATGATGATTTCAGAAAAAAAAAGAGAATTGGCAGTATGCAAAACTTCATAATAGATCTGTGGAGCTCAAACAAGAAAATACTGTATATGTAAAGGTAGATGGAAGTATTAAAGCCTACACAAACCTCAGATGTTATTCTTCGTCTCCTGCTGGCTATGTCACTTGAATATTTACTTAAGAACATATACCAAGTATTGCTTCCTCTAGCATAGTATAATGTCACTGGGGAAGTTGAGAACCACTTTTGGATGGTACTTCTTTCCTAGGTTTTTCACACTTGAGTACTCAAACTTGGCTGGGCCAACAGAGGACACTAGAGGGGGCAACATATTTAACATCTGGAAATAGATCTGGTGGAAAAGAAGTAGTAGAATTGACTCATTACCTTCCATCATCTGGGCCTCCTAGGGATACCAGATACAGATCGTTGGGTGAAAAGGCCAGAGCTTCAATTTTGCCCTTGTGAAGTGACAGCCGCGCAATCAGCTCTCTTTTCTTATAATCCCATAAAATGATATCTGCCTGGGGGTGAGAATATACTGTCAGGTCCCAGACAGGCTTAAGAATCTGAAGGATGACCACCACCCCTCTTGCAGAGAAGTAATCAGTCATGCCACTTTTCTGGAGATGAGACCATGTTTTGTCAATGTGGCAGATAACAGAGTGGAAATAATTTTAAAAAGGGACCTTTGCTCTTGAACATCCTCAGTCACAGGCTGCAACATCTGCTGTCAAAACACCAGATTCCTTCACTGGCAGCCCGAGGGAGTGAAAATAAATCGCCAAAAGTCAAGGAGGAGGAGGAAGAGCAGGCATCTACATGCCACACAGGGCGAAGGGCCAGGAATACAGTTGATCTTGGAGGGTGGCATGTCTAATCAATTTACAGTGAATTGCTTTCCCTCTACTCACCTTGAACCCCATAAACGTGACCTGCCCAGAGGCAATGTAATCCCCATTCCTGGAGATGGTCAAACAGGAGACATTGTTGCTATGACCATGTAGGAAATTCTGCTCTTGAGTATTTATTGCCTGAATGAGTATTGTACAACCCAGGGGATAAATCAGATGCTCCTGGTCAGGATGGCATTTGAGCCCATTGGGAGCATGTCCTAAAAGACAGAGAGATTAAAAAGCATTAGAGCCAGGGTGGGCACAGTGGCACGTGCCTGTAATAACAGCAGTCGAGAGGCTGAGGTAGGAGGATCTCAAGTTTGGGATCAACCTGGGTTCTGTAGCTAGTTCTAGACCAGTCAGGACTACATATATTGAGTACCTGTCTCACAAAACAAGCAAACAGAAACAACAACAAAAACACAAACAAAAAAAATCATAATCAGGTGCAGAAGTGGCTGGTAGTATTTTTCGAGAATACAAAAACAGAAAGCCCCTTTGAAATAAGCTCAGGTTCTTTTAAAATACGTAGGGTGTGATGAGTAATTTCACCCCATAGACATGAGGCTTGGTGTGGCACACTACTCTTTCAGTTTTTGATGTGAATGTGATCCCTAAGGGATTTCGCTATAATGCAGATTCTAATTTCAGGTCTGGGGTGGGGCTGAGATTCTACATTTTCAGTTAGCTCCCAAAGATGTGGTGCAGGAGCCTCACCTTGGGGGGACAGCAAAAGCCTGGGCCCTATTCCTGTGACCCTTCCAGCAGGAGTACATGGAGCACAGAAGCTGGTTCAGCTAGCAGTGTGGCCATAGGGCAAATGGAAGTACTATATCTCAGCCAAGTTTGGTAAAGACAAAAATTTGGCTTATTTCACTTAGCATTACACTGTTCAGCTTCATCTATGATTCTGAAAACAGCATTACCTTTGCTTTGTTTTGGTTTTTGATACAGAGTCTCACTATGTAGTTCCAGCTGGCCTCAAAATCTGTGATTCTCCTGCCTCAGCCTTCCCAGTGCTATAACAGGTCTGCGCCACCACACCCAGTCAAATTCTTTTGCTTGGGACTCTGATGAACATTACCGGATGTTTGTGTAGTTTCAGATTGTCTTTATCCATTCATCTGTCAATGAAAACAGGCTGTTTTTGTATCTTGACTACTGCGAATAACACTTCAATGGACATAGGCACTGTAGATATCTCTCCAAAATAGTAATTTCAATATATATCCAGAAGTAAGATTGGTGTACTACGTTGTAGTTATATTTTTAGGAACCTGCATACTGTTCCCCGTAATGGGCACCCCAATTTGTATCCTGTGAAGGTTAATCTTGATGTTAAAGTGATTGGTTTGAGAGATGCCCGGGAGACCAGCAAAGCACATGTTCGCTGTGTGTGAGTGGGGGCTTCTACATCTGGTCCCTGGCCCCTTCCTCTGACCCCTTCCTCTTGGGAGTTAGCTCTTTCCTCTGTGAGCTGAGTGGCTTTCCTCCTCCATTTCCTTCAACTATGGAAACAAAATAACCCTTTTCTCCATTAAGTTGTTTTTCTCAGGTAATTTGGTTACAGTGATGGAAAACTGACCAGTACCTGTTTGCACCAGCAGCGTACAAAGTTCTCCTTCCTCCCTGTCTTTGCCAACGCTCATTATCTTTCTTGCTTTTGGATAAAAGCCATTCTAACAGATATGAGATGACATCTCATTGCGATTTTGATTTGCACCTTCCTGATGATTCACCAATGAATGTTTGCACACTTTTCTTTATACCGGCTGGCCATTTGGGTATCTTTTGAGTTATATCTACTCCATCTTTTTAATTATTCCATTTTAATGGCCATTCCATTAAATGGCTATTCCATTTTTTCCCCATGGCCCCAAAGAACATTACACTAAGTCAAATAAACCAAACAGAAAGGCAGATACTAAGCTGTCTCCCTCATGTACGAGATCTTAAGCTGAACTCATGGGAGGAGAGAGTAGAGTGGTGGTTGCTAAGGCTTAAGAGTGTGGAGGAAATGGGGAGATAGTTAGCCAAAGAACAGATTCAGGTACACTAGATTACTGAGTCCTGGAGGCCCAATGAACAACAGCCGACAACATCGTGTTACAAAGTTGCTAAGAGGTTTGATCTGCAGTGTCCTCTCTCACACACACAACTGGCAATTACATGAGGTAGATATGCCAATTAGTTTGATTGTGGGAATCACTTCACAGTGTACACATACATAAAACATGTCACACATATTAAGTTTATACAGTTAGCTAGGCATGCATGTTGGCATACATTGCTAATTGAGTACTCAGGAGGCTGAGGCAGGAGGATGACAAATTCAAGGCCTGCCTGAACTACAAAGTGAGTCCCTCTGTTTAGAAAACACAAAAATATGGCTGGCGAGATAGCTCAGCAGACTAGCACAGGGATCAGCATTTGATCCTTGGTGCCACCTGCCACACTGGCCCTGCCCCTGGGCACACTGAGCTGGCCACTGAGTCCGGGCATGGTGGTGCATGCCTGTAACCCCAGTGCTGGGGAGGCTGAAAACGGGAGGATCACCACGAGTCTGAGCTACATAGTGAGACTCTGTACAAAATAAATAAATAAATAAATAAATAAAATTTTAAAAAGAAAAAAAACACAAAAATAAAAAAATTCTCCAATTTTTATTAGGTATATCTCAATAAAATGGGAAAGGAAAGTTTAAGTCCAGCGTCAGTTTTAAGTGACCACGAGGTGTTCTGAACAGTACTGGAAACTTTCCCCAGATCTCTTTCTCCAGACCATGACCTCCTTTCAAATACTGCATTTGCTAAGAATTACCTCAACAATGACAAATCTTTGTAATATGTTTTAATGTAAACTAGCTATACATTCTTCTTTGTTATTTGTCTTAGGTCCAAATTTTTGGTCACTTTCATATTTGTTTTACAATATTAACCCTTTAAAGTGCCCTTGGGAGCCTGACGTGAGAAGATCACCATGAATTTGAGGCCACCCTTCCCTACAAAGCAAGATTCTGTCTCAAAAAAAACCCAAAAAAGTCATAGTTGTATTTTTGGTGATATAGTATTAAATATATGGAGTAATTGAAGAAAAAAAACTTTTCATTTAGTTTTTGGAGATACAGTCCAATTATGTGGTTCAGACTGGCCTTAAATTCACTATGTAGTCTAGACTGGCCTCAAAATGGCTGGGGAGGCTGAAAACGGGAGGATCACCACGAGTCTGAGCTACATAGTGAGACTCTGTACAAAATAAATAAATAAATAATTTATTATTTATAAATAATTCCAGTACTGTTCAGAACACCTCGTGGTCACTTAAAACTGACGCTGGACTTAAACTTTCCTTTCCCATTTTATTGAGATATACCTAATAAAAATTGGAGAATTTTTTTATTTTTGTGTTTTTTTTCTTTTTAAAAATTTATCCTCCTGCCTCAGCCTCCTAAGTGCTTGGATTACAGGCATGTACAACCACATCTGGCCTCAGTCTTCTTAAATTGCAGTCTCCTTATAAACAATCATATGAGCCAGGCATGGTGGCTCATGGCAAATATATGCATATATAGGTGTATATTTATATATTCAAGAAATGGAACACTATTAAGTTGATCGTGGTGGTCACACCTGTAATCCCAGCTCTTGGGAAACTGAGGCAGGAAGATTGTTTGAGTTCAAAGCAAGCCTGGGCTACACAGGGAGTTCAAGGTCAGTCAGCACTGCATTGTGAAACCCTGTCTCAAAAAAATGTCTTTGTAGGGCCAGCCAGACAGCTCAGCAGACTAAAGCGCCTGCTTCAGCTGAGCCGGGTTTGATCCCCAGCATTGTGTGCTGGTCCTGCTCCCTGGGGCACGCTGAGATAGCGATTGAAAATGGGCATGGCGTTGTGCGCCTGTAATCGCAGCATTTGGGAGGCTGAAAACAGGAGAATCACTAGGAGTCCGATCTACAGTGAGACCCTGTACACCCTGTAGACCCTGTCCTAAATTCATAAAAAAAAGTTTGCAACTGGAAGCTGTTCAATTCCTTGATCTTGTTTCCTTTTTAAAAATGATTTTGTAATGTCTCTAAGAATGGTCAGTACTCAAATTATGAAGGGCCTGCTTCCTGTCAGTGTTAAAGTAAAAACAAAGACTCAAGAGCTAAGTCCTAGAATGTGGTTAAATTTTTGTCAGTGATTGATCTGCATCTACTTAACTACAACATTAAAGTTTTTAGATGTCGCACACACTTTTTCATTTTCTGAAATACATAGCGTTGCTTTTTTCATCTCTCGAGCAAACCAGAGCAAACCAGAGCAAACCAGAGCAAACCAAACCAAACCAAACCAAACCACGCAGCATTTCCCGGCTCTAACGTTCCTAGTAACATTTAGGCACAAGATGTGCACAGAGCGGCCGCCCCCTCCCGGATCAAAATAATCGCTCCAGCTCCCTCTGGCGTCCCAGTCCTCTTCTATCTTAGCCCAAACCTTCACCTCTTAGAAATCTCACCTTCCTTTCTCAACAGCACAATAGCCAGTGTTTTGTGAGTCGGTGCTCGGGGCGAAACACACACAGCATCCTGAGGTGGCCCAGGCTTTGGGTCTGTGTGGGGCTTGGCGGCCCCCAGCAGAAGGGGCGCACCCATCCTTAATTCTCCAGCCGGCCCCTGGGTGTAGCTTCTAGGTGCCGGCGTTTGTCCGAGCTATTGGTGCCCGGGTTCCCTGGCGCTGGGGACAAGGGCGTGACTCTCTGAGACCCTCGGCCCGCAGAGGCTGTTGGTGCCCCAGTGATTTGGGCCCTGGCCGGCTCTTAGCATACCATTGCCCTGCGCTGCCCTTCAGATTCCGCCGGGTTCTCACCGCCCGTGGTAACACTACAGGGTCTCAGGGTTCCTAAATCAGCCAGCCCGCGGGTGGCTGAGACCTCACCATTGAAGCCAATCACAGCATCAAGTTGCAGCTCTGCCACCTCTTCGGTCTCGGGTGAAATTTCCTCACCCATCGCCGAGAGGTGCTCGGCTCACAAACTCTTCCAGTACGAACTTCTGTCGCGCGTCCCCTGGTCGTTATAGCAACCGTTGCACGCATGCGCACCAGGTCCACCTACCCGAAGGAACGGGGGGGAGGGGGCTGGAGATGGGGGGCTGGGTTGACATGCCCTCTTGCAGATGTAGGGAGGGCATCCTTTTTCTGTTTTCTGTAAATTTAGAGGGAGGGTGGTAGAGTGAGTACTAAATGCACAAAACAAGATTCCTCCCTACTTTGTGTATCTGTGAACTTTTTGCTAACTATATAATTAAGCATCAACTTGGCATTCTAAAAGTAACTAAAGAGTGAATTGCCTATGATGCGTGAGCCCTTTGCTTGAAGCAGGGTAAAAAATTTTAAAGATTTTTTAAAAAGCTTTGCTAAAGCATAACGTAATGATCATAATATTAACTTAGTATGCAATTATCGCCACAATCCAAGTTTTTTTTTTTTTTTTTTTTTTTTTTTTTTTAATGAAAAAGGATAAAAATCTTAAGGAAGTGCTAGAGAGCAGATTTTGAGGTTTCTCCAAACACTCTTACCTTCTTGGGAAAACACTTTGATTTTGTTCAATAACAATTTTACTTTAATTTCACCTAGCAGTTTCTCCTACACGTTTTTATTGTTGTTTGTTTGTTTTGGTTACAATTCTGATGCTTCAAACTGAAGTAAATATTCACTTTACAATCTCCAGTCGCGCAACGGCCGAACCGCGAGGAATGAACCACACGGGCCGCCGTAGTCAGCTGCTGGGAGCAGGAAGTGTCCGAGCAGCCGGCGGAGACTGCACGATGGCACCGGACCCTTGGTGAGCCCCACGGGTAGGGCGCCTTGGGGAACCTGAGGGCAGGTCGGGCCTCCAGGAGTCGGCACTTGTGTCGTTTTGGGGCTGCAGGCCTTTCAGGATGAGGATAGGGGCTGCGAGGATGCAGGGGACCCCTGCCGAGCCACAGCCCACGGCGCTCGGTCCGTGCGTGGATGACCCGGGCGGGAGTCCAAGGGGACTGCTGAGGAACGGAGGGCACGACCCCGAGCTCTGCGTTTTCCTCCGGCTCTTTGGGGCTGCTCTCGCCGCCGGGATTTCCCGCCCATCCTGGTGGTGGGGCTGGCTCGCGCAGACTTCCCTGGACTCCTGCGAAAGTGAGGTAGAAATAGCCTGTTGTGGACTCTCAGTCCATCTGCTGAGCCCCCTTCGCTGGGCAGCCCGCGGTTCAGAATTCTCGGTCGTTAGCTATAGATTAGATGCAGGTCTTGTGGGCCCTTCAAAAATCTTGTCGGATCCTTCCAGGAGAGAATTTAAGCACTTGAGAAAAGACATTTTACCCTTCCCCAGTTAGTGTCTTTAGGATTCTACCCTTTGCAGAAAGACAACAGCTGATAAGGGTCATTCAGTCCGCATAAAATCCCAAGGATTAAATGGTTAAAGCTAGAAACGCTAATCCCAAGAAACAAATTGCTGTACATAACAGGCTTGACTTGTTTAATAATTTATGACATACCGTAGCTGTATAAAATTCTTGTTAGTATATATCTTACCTTGGTGTTTCTAACACAGTTTGTAATTGTTTACAGATAATTTGGATTTTAGGAGAATAGATTCCAAGGTCAAAAGTACCTGGTACCTGGATTATCTGGGCCCATTGCTTAATTTAATATTGACTTTTTAACCATAGTATGTACTACTAATAGAAAATATAGAAAGTACACAATGTTTGCAGAAAGAAAATGCGTCACTTCTTTTTTTGTGTATACTTAGTACAGAGTCTGCAGGGTCTCACTACACAGATCAGACTCATAGTGATTCTCCTGTTTTCAGCCTCCCAAACGCTGGGATTACAGGCACAAACCTCCGTGCCCAGTCTCAATCACTGTCTCAGCGCTCCCCGGGGGCAGGGCTGGCACCACTCGCTGGGAGGATTGAACCCTGGTCCCTGTGTCTGCCTAAGCAGGCGTTTTAATCTGATGAGCTATCTGGCCGGCTCTTGTCACTTCTTTAACTGATACTTGGGAAAACCCATTATTGATTTTTATAATGAAGTTATTATTCTGGTTTTTTTTTTTTTTTTTTTTTTTTTTGTGGAACCAGGCATTGAACTCAGGCCCTTGCACTTGCCAGGCAAGCGCTTATTCTACTGAGCTAACTCCCTGGCCCATTATTCTGTGTAATGCTTTACAAAACAGGAAAGATTTCTCCATGTCATTAAGTATTTTCTGAAGGCATTTTTTTATGGTGCATATCCCTGTGTCATAAGAGCATAATTTATTTTAGGTTTTGTCTTTGTTGTTGTTTTGATTTTTGCTGTGCCAAAGGCCAACCTTGTTTACTCATCTATTTTCGTGGGATGCTGCCACAGAAGTAGAACTGTTGGGCTTAACTATGAACACTTGTAAGGCCCTTGATACACCTTGGCTAAGTTGCTCTTTACTTTTCCGGAAGCTAACTTTCCCAGTTTGTACATAAAGTAAAAAAATAAAGCCTAGTAATAGTGGAGGACCCCTCCCTCCCAGTTGTCCATTTAAATTGGAAAAGGGGTAACTGAACCCTCCTTCTTGGTTACTATTGGGAGTGGGGAATCCCGCTGTACTCTTCCTGTTCTCAGTTATTTGACTAGGTGATTTTCTCTTTTAACAGAAAGTGAAGTAGACCTTTACTGTGCTCTGATCAGCCGCCTTACACAGTGGGTTGCTGGTGGGGAGGATAGAAAGGAGTATGGAAAGGGGCCTGGAAAAATGCAGGAGCCAGGCATGATGGTGCACACCTGTAATCCCTGCCCTAGGGAAGCTGAAGCAGAAGGATTGCCGTGAGTTTGAGAATAGTCTGGGCTGTGTAGTGAGACTCTGTCTCAGAAAACCCCAAAAAAACAGAAAACAAAAAAGAAAACAAAACAAAACACCCTAGGAAAAGTTATCCCAGTTTTCTCTGTGTTACTGAAAGTCATAACCAGTCAATACCTTCCTTGGGAGTTGTATTCTAATATTTACAGGTAGAATACAGCAGTTACTTTTTAAATGCCTTATCAAAGCAAGTGAAAAGCTTACTGGTTAATAGAAATAGGTGATGACTGAGCTGGTTGTTTGCTGAAGTTCATTGGCTTTCCTGCTAAACAGAGGCCGAGTTCATGGTCTGGAAACTTGCTTTATTCTTGCCAGTCCCTCTGCCTGTGCAGTGGCATCACTATTTTTTAGTGGCTTTACCTTGAACACATTAATTGCTCACTTTTCTCATTTCTTATATCAAATTATTCACTAATTCCCATTGTTTTGTTTTGTTTTTTAAATGCTGACATCCCTTTTCTGGTGTCCATTTCTGCCATTGTCTGTGCTTTTATAACCTAGTATTTTGCACATATTGAGTACTGGTGATTGGGTGCCGAGTTTAATAATTTGCGAAATCACTGCTGCTATCCTTAGCCTAAGGTGTCACCTTGTGGCCTGGCCTAGCTGAGTGCCTCAGTGAACAGTAATTTCTCCCATCTCCTACCTCTAGAAATGCTTAATTAGATTTCATGTTTGGCAAGACTTCACTGTAGATTCCTATATATTTGATCTGGGACCACAGAACTAAAACTGAGATAGATGACAGTATGAAGAAAAGAAGGAAAATGTGGCAACGCAGGGACCAAGACCAAGTTTTTCTCGTTTTCATAATGATGTGTTTTCTTACGTGCTCTTTTTTCATAGGTACATATGCCTGAATATGTATGAATGATGTAATATATATTGCTACTTTGTAGACTCCGGGGTTAGTAGTTTGGAACCCTGCCTTCTGGTGTCCTTGTGAATTTACAGTGAGCTCTTAGGAGCTCACATCAGGTGCTCAGCCATTAGCTGCTGCTATAATTACTTTAGTAAGAGTCCTACGGGATGCAGTTGGAGAGTCTTCATTTTTTTTTTTTAAACCACTTAACACCCAGGCACACTGGTGCATGCCTTGTAATCCCAGCTCCTTGGGAAGCTGAGATAGGAGATCATTTGAGCTCAGGAGCTTGAGACTGGTTTGGGCATCATAGCCAAACCCTATTTCAAGAACAGAACAAAAAAATCATTTACCAAGTTCTGTCCATGCACAAGTGATACGTGAGAGTTGGAAATGGATTCTTTTCTCAAGCAAAAATTGTGATGTGAAGGCAAACGGCAATTTTTGAAGCTTCAAGTATGCTCATTACAAGTATAGCAGGGTCTTCACTTTTACAGACAGACTGGCTGGTAGGAGAAATGAAGTGTTTGTGTACGCTTCGGTATTTTCCTGAAAATGGGTGAAAGTGCTGTAACAGGACAAAACCAGGGCCTTTGAGGATTCCTTGTGACTCCTCCCAAAATGCTAGCACTTAAACGGCAAGTAGGAGGTCACTTAAGTGTTTGGACAGAATTCTAGCAGACTTAGGTGTCAAGCGGATATGTAACCTTCCTCATCAGAACAGTTTGTTGCGTGCCACACAGAACCTGCCATTCTTGCATCTCGGAGCTCTTCTTAGGCAGAGCTGCCTGACTCACTTCTCACCTTGTCTCAGGGTCACCTGTCCTCATAGCACCTCTCAGTCATTCTTCATCCTGCTGCAGTTTTCTTGTCAGCACATCTCAGCACACACAGCCTGCTTATTTGGGGGCTGCACATGTTGTTCACGGCTCTATTCATTTGCAGTGCCCAAAGCAGTAGTCTGTACAGTGCAGGTCCTCCAGGATTGTTATTTCACAAATAAATGAGTGCAGATGCTTTATCACGGCCCAATAGCAAGGTTCGTAAGAGCCCAGGTCTTAGGGCCAGGCTGCCTTGTTCTGCTGGGGTCCCAGGCGGGCGAGTCAGGCTACCTCGTTGGGGCTCCTTTCCTACTGAGCGCTCCCTCTCTGTGTTCTAAAGTGCATTAAGTAAGTGGTTACAAGCGAAACATTTGGAAGGGTGCTGGGCCACAGTAAGTACCACTCGACAGTTCCTGCCATTCCTGTGTCTGTCTGTGATCCTTTTCTGTTTGAACTTGTGACTAGAATTAAAAACTTGGCTTAGACAAATGAGGAATTTCTTTCTCTTTTTCTTTTTTTGGTGTTTTTGAGCCAAGGTCTCTCTATGTAATACAGGCTGGCCTTAAACACACTGTGTAGCCCAGACTGGTCTCCAATTCATGGGATTATAGGTGTGTGTCACCATGTCTGGCCATATTCTTTTTTTTTTTTTTTTTTTTGTACAGGGTCTTGCTACACAGCTCAGATTCATAGTGATCTCCTGTCTCAGCTTCCCCAGTGCTGGGATTACAGGCATGTGCCATCATGCCTGGACTAGTTGCTGGCTCAGTGTGTCCCAGGATGGGGCCAGCGCAGCATGAGAAATGTCTTTTCTAAAGAATCTGAAACGTCTTTCTTTTTGACTTTGATGCAGGTTCTCTACATACGATTCCACCTGTCAAATTGCCCAGGAAATTGCTGAGAAAATTCAACAACGAAATCAGTATGAAAGAAGAGGTGAAAAGACACCCAAGGTAATACCAGGAGAAAATTAGTACTTAAGTGACTTTTTTCGTTTTGGATTTTTTTTTTTTTTTTTTGAGACAAGATCTTGCTACGTAGTTCAGGCTGGCTTTGAACTCTGAGTGAGCCTCCCAAGTGCTGAGATTACAAGCATGCACTACTACCCAGGCCAGCCCATTACTTAAAGGATTTTGAGTTTAGAGGTCTGAAAACCTTCCTGTACTTAAGGCTCTATGTATTTGTGTGTGTGTATATGTGTATAAATTTGAAAATTTAATTATGGTATGTTGTAGATATCCAATTTTATTTTTCTCTAGTTTGCTAGGTTAGAAATTTCTCTCCTAAGATACAAAATATTCCATGTTTCATCCACTGGACTTTTACACAACTACAGTATTCCTCAGCCTTCTGCTCCTATTGCACTAACGACATGAATGGCAGCATCATAAGCTTGTATTTTTTAATAATGACGGTCTGTGTGATTATTTAAGGATTCCTTTTCTGTTTATTTGTTTATTTTTGTTTTGCTTTTTAATTATTTGATGCACGGTCTCACTATGCAACTTGGACTCGTAGTGATCCTCCTGTCTTAGCTTCCCCAGTGCTGGGATTACAGGCATGTGCCACCATGCCCAGTCTTGGTGGCCAGCTCAGTGGGCCCGGGGGCAGGGCCTGCATGGCACTTGGTGCTGGGGATGGAACCCTGGTCCATGGGCTTGCCTAAGTAGGCGCTTAGTCCACTGAGCTATCTGGCCGGCTCCCCTCTATTGTTTATATCATTTGTTTCTCCTTATATCCTGCTTGAGTGGTTTGGTAAAGTGCTTCTAAAGAAAATTTTGTGCTGGGCCTTAATTTTCACTGTCTCTCAAATAAAAATGGGGAAAACTTAACATTTTTTTGGTACCAGGAATCAAACTCAGGACCTTGCACTTGGCCAAGCAGGTGCTTGTGTTGCTGAACTAAATCCCTAGCCCTTTACCATTTTTATAATACTGAATATTTCGTTTTGTTCTCATTCACTGCTGTATTCACTCCTTTAGCGATATTCACTGCAGTTATTGTGTACCATGCACTAGGGTACATTCTTTTTAGATTTTGTTAGTATTGTTGATGAAGTTTGAAAATCATAATTTTGAAATCCTCTTCAGCTATTACTTAAAATTTAGGAATGTCTTTGAATTTTGTTTTCTTTTTGTAATTGATCCCTGTACTGAATTCCTTGTTCTTTTGAATAATCTTTCAATTAATTCTTTTAACTTTCCCAAGTAGAAATCTGTTAAACTGCAAATGAGACTTTCATCTTCTTTTCTTTTCTTTTCTTTTCTTTTCTTTTCTTTTCTTTTCTTTTCTTTTCTTTCTTTTCTTTTCTTTTCTTCTTTCTTTTTTTTGGCAGAACTGGGGATTGAACTCAGACCCTTGTGCTTGCCAGGGAAGAGCTTATTCTGCTGAGCCAACTCCCTGGCCCTCTCATCTTCTTTTTTTTTTT